ACTTCGGGCATGGCAAGCTCCCATAGTGTGACGGGATAGGCTTGCCTGCCATCCACACCAGAATAAATGAAGTTTTCTGAAAAAACCTGCTAGTGGAGGAAGACCTCCTAAGGATAAGAGACATAGGGCTAAAGAGAGAGCCAAAAAAGGATCGGATCCTGATGCATATAGATACAAATGGTCCAATGGGAGCAAGAATTTCCAGGAACATTTGGAACATTTCATTTCTGAGCAGAATAGCCATTTTCAAGTAGTGTTTGATTGATTACGTATTAATCAATATTTGATTGATTGGTCTGAGGTTATCGACAAAAAAGATTTCTCTAAGTCACTTTGTTTCTCCTTCTTACTAAGACTACATAATGTTCTTGTAAATTATGGCCAATACCAGGTATATAAGCAGTGATTTCAAATCCAGAGAAAAAAGATCGAATGGATCTTGTAGGATTCCCAAGAAATTCTTCGATTTCTTCTTGAAGCATATGAATATTCATCTGCTTCTCACGTTCCGTGAATAGTCGGGACATTGAGGAATATCCAGAATATGTGGAGGTTGACATGTCTGGAAGCACAGGAGAACGTTCTTTTGCTGATATTATTACCGGTATTCGATATTGGGTTATTCATAGCATTACTATACCCTCCCTATTCATTGTGGGTTGGTTATTTGTCAGCATGGGTTTAGCTTACGATGTATTTGGAAGCCCTCGTCCCAACGAGTATTTTACAGAGAGTCGACAAGGAATTCCATTAATAACTAGCCATTTTGATCCTTTGGAACAACTCGATGAATTTAGTACCCACTTATTTTTCGGCAGTATATTTATGCACTGCTTACCATCATGGTTTAAATAGTTCCATTTTGGTGCAAAACGGTAATAGATACCGAGGCTTTGCAATATTTGATTGATTACAATTCTGTATATTCCATTTGAATTCCCAGCAATGGATACTTTGTAATCCAGTAATTACCGTTCGTTCTATTAATTGAATTGCAATTAAACTCAGCCCAATCTTTTACTACAAAAATTGAGCCGAATTGGAGTGCGGTTCGTTCGATAAATTCCTACCTCTCTATCTATTTCTGAGATGTTTGGATTTTTCAAAACTCCATGGACATGCAGAAGAGAAATGCTATTCCCACTCAAACCAAGACCCATAATCCCCCACTATATATACATAAAATGACACTATGTATATGTGTACTTTTTTTCTTTATAGATTCGGTTTTTTTGAAGCATAATATGGCGTATTTGCATCTTTCATACTCTTCTTCGCTTTTATACTCTTCTTCAATTTATAGATATATCTTTCAATAAACAATAAATTCAAAAAACAATAAAATAGTTATATCACAATTCAATCCTTTTTTTTTCCTTCTCCACTCGAACCAATTCGCCTACTCGACTTCTTATATTGACAGTGATTGGTATATCTACTCCAATGATACTATTGTTTCGTACCATTATGGAAGAAGATTCAGGTAAAATATGCACTTCCTCGGGAATGAAAATTTATAATTCTCTGTCAATTGGATTAATGGATCGTCCAATTGGAAATGATAACAGAAAGCATAGGTTGTTATAAGGAGATTCATTAAGCATATAAAAATAGTATACCATCTAATTACCTTATTTCCTCTATGGGGAAATAAGAAGCCCCAACTACAAGAAAAGACCTTATGATAGTCAATATGGGTCCTCACCATCCATCAATGCATGGTGTTCTTTGACTTATTGTTACTCTAGATGGTGAGGATGTTATGGATTGTGAACCAATATTGGGTTATTTACATAGAGGGATGGAATTAATATAGATCCTCACCAGCAAGCCATCTCTTTTTCTTAAGCAAATTAAAGTAGTACTATGTTTGGATTCACGTTATTAGCACATGAATTAAGATTAAATCTTTTTTTTTTTCTCAATATGATCTTAGAGATGCGCCTCCTATATGGGCATATTTCTCACCTAAAATTTAAACCAAAATAATATAATCAAAGGAAGGGGCATGCTAACTTCCTTAGATATAGTCCTAAATGTTAGGTAACTAGCTAGTTCTTCTGTGATAGCTTCCAAATTAAGTTCAAACCAATACATAGAAAAAACTAAGCTATATGTGGATCATGACACTCTAAGTAGGCTTAAGTTAGGAATTGAAGGGCATCAGCACCAAAACTTTAAGGTAAGTAAACAAGAGAGTACATTTGATTAATTAAGGAAAACTAATTAATCAGTTGAATTAGGTTTGAATTTGATTGTTCTCAAAATACTGCTTGTCTAATATGTTGTTTTCTAATACAAGAGAGGGAAAAAATGGAATAGTCTGATGAAGGAAGATAAACAACTCATCCAGAGAGAATAAATAATCTCTGTTCGTTAGAATTAGATATAAAACAAGATAATAGGCACATATTATTAGGTTATAACTAATATTTGAAATGTAACATAATTAGATAAAAAGTTGCAAGCATGAGCCAAATTTGATTATAATGGAATGACTCATAAATTTTAAGGCATATTATATAATGCACAAGTATATTTATTTGATCAACTAAAGGAAATGGCAGGGTTAAATGAGGTGATATACTGCTAAAACTCTAACAAAATATATAATATGACTAAAACATGTAATATACTACAAAGAGTATAATACCATAATTTTAGCAAATAATATGACAGAATCTTGATTTAAATTGAACACTAGCCCTGTTGTTTTTAAAAGCCTGTTTGGAGTAGTTTGTAAATAGTTTTTCAATTGTAATTCATGCAATACAAGGTAAATATATGAAAAAAAATTTTGTCTCGACCTACGTAAAATGTGTTTAATAAGTGTTTTTAATCGTGATTCCAAACAAGCTCTATGAAATTTGAAACTTCAGGTCTTGGGACGTGAAGTCTTCAAATGCCAAAGAATTGACTTTAGAAAGTAAAAAAAAAAAGGCTAATACAAATTTTGGTCCTTTAAGTTTACTTTCATTTTGATTTTAGTTCTTCAATTTTTTTCATTTAAAAATTAGTTTGCATAATCCAATAAAAACTTGAATCATTTTGCTTTTTAAGGGATCAAAGCTTATAATTTGAAACTTGAGAGACTAAAACTAAAATAAGGACAAACTTAAAAGACCAAAAATTATATTAACATTTTAAAAAATAATAGTGAAAAAGAACATTATTTTTCACATTGTTTATGATATACAGCATTTTTAATCAGACATAATTTTCTTGGAGTGGCGAGTCCCACCTTTATTTCCAATCTATCTATTTACAAGTACAAGTCAAGTTTGGTTCGTTTTTTCTCCCCCAACAAAAGTATCTTCTTGTAAAGCATTATCGCTGGGAGATAATTTTTAACAATGATGTATAAATTGCACGGATCATAAAGTTTTTCTTTTTTACTAAAAAGGGATGTAATAATAATAAAAAACTGTACAAGAATCGGTCAACAGGCGACAATTAAAAGGCCCCGTTGTCAAAAAAATTCCAGTGCATTCTTAGCTCTTGATTGTGTGCTCAGCGAACACATTAACAGTGCTTACTAAATTATAAGGAGCAAGGGCATGGTCTTCGAAAATTCTCTTGTTCTTGTTGTCTCATAATTTCTAGAATAGCAGGCCGAATTTAATCTGTCAGACTTGACCTTTGTTCTTTGGATTGAGATTGTCGTAGATCCAATCAACAAATGAAGTCTGGGGGTGTTGAAGGATTGGGTCACCAGTCATCAAAAAGCGGCAACATTTCTTAGCAAAGGGGCAAGTTTGCAGGACATGCTCAGTATCTTCAGTGTGCCGGTTGCAAAATGAGCAAGTCAAGTCATCTATCATGTGTCGTCTCGCTCTCTCCATGTTGGGTAACAGTCGCTCTTTAATAGTAAGCCAAAGGAAAGTGCGTACTCGCCGCACGCCTGGCCATTTCCAAATCCAGTTCGTTCTATTATTGGGTGCATGCCAAGAAAGTTCATGGACCACTTTATAGGCCAAGGAGATTGAGAAGTCGCCATTGTCAATAGACTCCCAGCAGTAGGAAGCTTCTCCATCTTGGGGAGATGGTGGCTGGATTGAACTAATCTTGAGTAAGATGTCGATCGGGAGGTAGGAGATTCTCAAAGAGAGGAAAGTTTCAAATGTAACAAAATCATTTAGGGATTGTGCAGCTTGGTTCTCATCTATTTCTACAGAGGCACGTAGCTTGAGTGGTCTGATCCCTTCTATCCACTTGTCCGACCAAAATCTTATGCTCATTCCATCTCCTGGGTTCTAAACGATGTGTAGATTGGTGTCCTCCCAGACCATAGCAATGCCTTTTCACACATGCGAGGCAGCTTTAGAGTTGAGAGATTGAGCATTCTTCTTGCGCCATTCATATTTTCCACGAAGAATCTTTACCCATAAGGCATTTGGTTTAGCAACTAGCTAATAAGCTAATTTAGAGGGGGAAGCCCTATTTTAGTCCTCCGTGTTCTAAGACCATATCCACTGTTATGATTAGGTTGGCACATATCCTCCCATTTTAGGGGATTTATCCTTCGATGGTTGACGTCACTCCCCCAAACAGAATCTCTGATTATTTTGTCTATTTTGTGACAATAGTCACTTGGAAGTTTGGTTGTTTGCATAGCATAGAAAGGAACAGTGCTGAGAACTCTTTTAGCCAAGGTGATGCGTCCTAGGGGTGCACATCGGCAGGGCAGGACCCCTGCCCGATGCCCTGCCCAAAGTAAGAGCGGGCTGCAAATTGCAACTCGATGCCTGGCCCCGTTGAAGCCCTAATCATTTTGGGCAGGGCATGGGCAGGGCGTGCTTCATTGCCCAAAGAGTGATGCCCTGCCCTCATGTCATGGAAAAAAAAAATTCTATCCATACCTAAAAATTACATTTTATAATTCTACATTTTAACACATAAAAATCATCCAGAAATAATCCAAAACAAGTGAAATCATCCAAAAATCGTCCAAAACATATCTTAACAATTATCCAATTAAATAACATCAGCAATCCATTTAAAGCAAGACAATCTAAATTTTATAATTGAAGCTTTACTCTCCACAATTTCCACAAAAAGATGGACCACCTGAAAAAATACAAATAAAAATAACTATAACTTTAACATATTAGAAACAAAACAATTAAAAAAATGTACTTCTAAATTTTAAAGAATGAATAGATGCACCTTACCAACTTAGCCAATCACGCTTATAAAATGACCCTTCAATCACCAATCTCCCCTCCAGATGTAGCAGCACCTAGGAAAAAAAAATCAAAGAATAATTACACACCAAATTATGAAGTAATATATATATGAATTATTGAGGGTTAGGAGAGAAGATTACTAGCAAGTTGAAGGATATTTTCTGACTCATCAAAATTATCGAATTCACGAAGCTTGTCAACAAATTCAGACATTGATTGCCCAGGTTGTAGCCAATTTTGGCTACAAATTAATGCTTCTGTCATTCTGGAAGACAAAGAACTCCTATAATGGTCAACCACACGTCCTCCAGTGCTAAAGGCAGACTCAGAAGCCACTGTAGAAACTGGCATAGCCAATACATCTCTTGCCATGTGAGAGAGAATTTTATATTTTTCTGAATTAGCTCTCCACCATAACAGTATGTCAAACTCAGCTGCAGAAGGGATCTCATCTCTTGAGTCTGTTGCTAGATATCTATCTAACTCAGTTTGAGGATCTGTTGAGGTTCTTTGTTTCATGGATTCTAACCACTTATGACCTGGATCCTCTTCACCATCATCATCATCATCATCAAAAGAAGGCAGTGAAGTTCCACTTACTGTACTTGTAGAGATAGTCCCTGATTCAATAGAAGTCCCAGCAGAGTACTCATTAAACAACCGATACAAACAATCTTTGACCCTCTCCTTCATAATCAAAGATACTTCAGGATCAACATAAAGACGATCAAACATATGATGCACATATGCTAGTTTATATCGGGGATCCAAAATGACAGCCACAAACAGCAATGGATTCATATTATCTGTTTGACCCCAATACTTATCATACTTCACCTGCATGCTGGTGCTCATTTCTCTCAACAAGTTATTAGTATTATTCATGATATTCTTTTGCAGCATTTTTTGAACACGGGCAATCTGGTGGAAGCATTCATTTGATGATACAGAAAGGGAGCTTGAAAATTTCAATGTAATGTCATAAAAGACCTTTAAGAACTTGATGAAGATTCGAGCATTATTCCAATCATCAATAATAGGACCAGAAAAGTTATCATCACGTTGCCGTCTAGCAGAACTAGAAGCATCACGCCTTGAGCTTGAAGTGCTTGAGCTAAAGTATGAAATATAGTCATCATCTTCATCACGCATTCGCTCAAATACTTTTTGAAATTTCATTGCAGCTTCTAACATTAAGTACGTTGAATTCCATCAAGTGGTTACATCAAGGCAAACAAGGCTCTTGGTATCTATTTTTTCAGCTTCAGGCCAAGTTTTGAATCTTAGAAAGCGTGAAGGAGAAGAACGAACATATCTCACAGCATTTCGAATGGCTTTAAAGCTGTCTTTCATTTCTTTAATACCTTCATTGACCACCAAATTTAAGACGTGTGCACACCACCTTAAGTGTAGATAATCACCATCATAAAGTAAGCCCTTCCAGCTCCTCAAACGCCTTTTTAGATATCCCAAAGCTGAGTCATTAGATGAGGCATTATCCATAGTTATAGTGAACACTTTCTCAATCTCCCAATCCAGCAAGCATTGCTCAATGGTCCTCCCTATAGTATCACCTCTATGATTTTCAATCATGACAAAATTTAGAATCCTTTTGTGCAGCTTTCATTCATCATCAATAAAATGTGCTGTCAAACATAGGTAGTTAAAATTCTGATTTGATGTCCAGCAATCTGTGGTGAGACAAACACGTTTTGCACTTTGCTTCAGGAATTTCTTCAATATTTTAACTTCTCCAAGGTATAATTGCCACACATCTCTTCCAATTGTTGTTCTTGAAGGAATTGGAAAGCGAGGTTCAAACTCATTTAACAATTTTCTAAATGCAGGCTTCTCCACAATTCTGAATGGTTGCTCATCACCAATAATAAATTCAGCCAAAGCTCTTCTACATCGCTTCTCATCATACACATGTGAAACTAAAGATTTTCCTTGTCCAGTTGTCCGACCCGACAAAAGAGTTAACATAGATTGTTTTTTATCTGTAATGACCTTGTGTGGATTCTTTGAACACTTAGGGATATGCCTTAGTAAAGAATTTGTCCCATGGCGGCTTGGATCAGCTTTATAAGTAGTATGACAATACTTGCAAGCTGCTAAGTGCACTCCATTAGTTTCTTCTATTGGCAATCTCACGAAGTATTCCCACACCTCTGATGTGTGCTTAGTTTCTCTTTCCTTTCTCTTTGTACCCCTTCCTTCAACATTTGTTTCTTGTCTCATAGAATTTGTTTGTGTGGGAGTGGGAGTAGAAGAAGTAAGCACAGGATTAGATGATTGAACAGGAAGAGTTGGGTTAGGGATAGGAGCTTCACTGGGTCTATTAGGATTTGGTATTTCATTAGGTCCTGGAAGGGTTGGTGCTTGAAAAGGGGTTGAAGCACTTTGAGACATTCCACCAACTGGCTGAGATGGTTGGGATGATGATGATGTAATAGAAGCTTCTTCAGCCATTAAAGCTGCAAAATTATATAATACACAATTGGAATCTTGCATCACATGGAGCAAGTGAACTTGACAACACAACATATATGAAGTTCTTCAAATTATTGATTTGTTATCAGTTTCCAATTGACAGAGGAAAAGTAAGGGCAAGAAAACTCTAACAAGTCCATGATAAAACTGAAATTGCTGCCACTTCATTATAGTTACTTAGTTACTAAAACATTTCCAACAAAAATAATAATAGAAATCCCCTTTGACTGTTATTCAAACTCAAATATCATCCCCGACCAAAAAACAAAACAAAAACTCAAATATCATCCATATATAAACTCATTTCAAAACTAATTCTTGATTAGATGAGCACAATGACAACCTCCACACGGTTAGCCTTAGCTTTACTACCAACAAATTCTTGATTAGATGAGCACAATGGCAATCTCCGCACGGTTAGCCTCAGTTTTACTACCAACAAGTTCAGCTATGGAAGTGTAGCCACTAGCAAGGACAAAAATATTATACAGAAGGCAACGAAGAAACAGATGAACGGCTAATTTACTCAGGCAATCAGGCATAATACTGAATGTCCATTACTCTATTATATGAAATACAAATAGAAAAGGGATCGGAGAGACTGACTAACAGAGTTGCTCCCTCTCGCTAGTCGGTGGTCACTGCTTGGCTGGTCGGAGGTCGCTGGTCGCTAGCGCTGGTTCACTGGTCAGTGGTCGGTGGTCGCTGGCACTGGTCAGTGGTCGCTGGCGCTGGTCCTTGGTGCTGGTCAGTGGTCGATGGAGAAGAAGAATAGAGCTGCTCGGCGGTCGCTGAGACTGAGAGACTGAGGGAGAGCGAGAGGGAGACTGAGAAATTGAGAGGGAAAAGCCGAAAAGGGAGCTTGGGAGAGACGAGAGCCAGATCGAGAGAGTGAGACGAGTCACGAGAGTGAGACGGAGATCGAGTGGGGGGTGCCGCAATGAGGGACTTCGCGAGGGGGGGAGGGCTTGAGGAGCAGCTGAAGGGCTGATGCTTGGCTCTGGAAGAGTGGTAGTAGGGCGCAAGTCACTGGCACTCTGGCAGAATGGAAGACCATAATTAATTAAAAAAAAAAAAAGATGTCGGGCTGGGCCAAATGGGCAGGGCAGGCACCCTGCCCGTAGCCCGGCCTTGCCCGAGATTTGCCCTGCCCATAAAATTTTTTTTTTCGGGTTGAGTTGGGCTTTTTTTTCCCGGGCTCAGGCAGGCGCACCGGGCGGACAGGCACTGTGAACACCCCTAAATTGCGTCCTGAGAAAGAGAGTGTTGGCTTTCCACAATTTTTGCCTCAGGTGATCAACGAGGTAGGCATAAGTTTCAGATGTAACATGTTCATAAAGAAGTGGAATGCCTGGGTACTTGTCTAGGTTAACAGTTTTTTGGTAGCCAAGATAGGAGCAGATGCTTGAAGCTTGGCATGGGGTTACATTTTTGTGAAGAAATCTGAGGTTTGGCTTGGTTGATCTTATGTCCTGAAGTTGAGTAGAATTCTTGTAGCACCTTTGGAATGAGAGACACATTTTCAGGGAAGGTGGGTCCAAAGAGAATGATGTCATCTGCAAAGAAGAGGTGAGAGAGTAGAGGACCTCATCGACCCATCCTTATGGGTTTCCAGTCTCCAACTTCTATTGCTTTTTCAATGGTTTGTGAAAGCCTTTCCATGCATGGCACAAAGATGTAGGGGTTGAGTGGATCTCCTTAGCAAACCCTCCTAAAGGGTCGGAAACTATCAAGAGCTTTCCCATTTCATGAGATACGCATTGTGGGGGAAGTGATACATTTCATAATGACCTGAACAAAGCTCAGAGGTAGTCCAGCATCAATGAGAGTTTCTTCGATAAATTCCCACCACAATCTATCAAAAGCCTTCTCAAGTCTACTTTAATGGCCATCCAACCTTGTTTACCTGTCTTTCTTCTCATGGAATGGATTGCTTCTTATGCAATGATGATGTTGTTAGTGGTGTTCCTTCTTTTATGAAGCTCATGTGGTTTGGAAGGATTAAAGTAGGCATCACACGTTTGAATTGGTTGGCCATAACATCAGTGACAATTTTGTAGGCGATGATCTAAACTCTTTCATGCATTTGGGATGATTCACCTTGGGGATTAAAGTGATCACAGTTCTATTCAAATCAAGATTAATAGGTTGACCATTAAAAGGGTTGCTGACCAGCTAATAGACTTCGGAGCCAACTGTGCTCCATTGATTTTAGGAGAAAAATGCTAAGAGGCTATCTGGCCCTGGCACTTTAAGATGGCTTGTCACGAATAAGGCTTGAAAGGTTTCCTCCATGGTGACACTTTGGTTGAGCATGTTTATTGTTGGGAAGCATCCCTTTATACTATAATGAGGAAGGAGTTATATGTTTGCTGTGAACAATTGCTTGAAAAAAGAAATAGCCATAGTTTTGAGGTGACTCTGGTTAGTTTGCCACTCCCCTTGGTCATCTTACAAAGTTAAGATTTTGTTTCATCTTTTGTGCATAATAGATTTTGCATGGAAGAAAGTAGTGTTTTTGTCACCTAGTTGGATCCATTTGTTTTTTGCCTTCTGCATCCAAAGCATTTCTTCTTGTAAACATATGTCCTCATATTCAAGACAAAGGTGCTGTTTTAACTTAAGAAGGCTTTGTGTAGCCTTTTCCTCAAGTGCCTTCTGTATACCACTAATGTAGGATTGAAAGCGACATTTTCGTTTGCTAATATGCCCAAATGTTTCTTTGTTCCACAGAGAAGCTTTATTTTGCAGAGATTGAATATTATGAGTAAGAGAATTCACACATGACCAAGATTCCTCAACTAGTCTTTGGAAAGTAGGATGGGTGACCGAGGCTGCAATGAAATGGAAGGGCTTGGTCTCAGCCATAGCATGTTGGAGACTGAGATTAATTAGGAAGGATTGATGATTTTTTTGGATTTTAGGTAGGTGTTGTATAGAGGTAGCAGAGAAGTTCAAAAGCCAGTTATTATTGGTAAGGGCTCTATCTAACCAAGCAAAGGTATCTTCTCGTCTCCAAGTGAACTTAGGACCTGAGAAGCCAAGATCTTGAAGACAATTTTTGTTAATAAAATTTATGAAAGACTTATAGCCTTGGTGCCATCTTCTATTTCCTCCTTGACGCTCATCCGTAAAGAGGGTGGCATTGAAGTCCCCCGCGAGGAGCCACACAACCATGCTTTAGTTGGCAATGATACTAAGATCTCGCCAGAGTCATTTGCGAATAGAGGGAGTTGGGCTGCCATAGATTGCTAAGAATAGGATACACTTGTTATGATCAATCCATCGGATCGATGCATGAATGAACTGATATTGACTTGTGAAGATGTCAACTTTAACTGTGCTAGACTAAATGAACCAGATGCCTCCAGAGAAGCCGCTAGCTTCAACTTGATGGGATTTGGTGTAATTTATTTTCTTTATCACTTTATCAGCTTGGGTGTCAGAGATTCGTGGCCCAACTAAATCTACAGTATCAGCTGAAAACCTCCAAGGAAAGACTTGAGGACAGAATGAAATTTAGGGGCAGCTGATCTTTGGCAATTCCATATGAATATAGACATATCAAAGGCGTTAGTATTGGGGGCTCGGTCCCTCAATGGTAGCAACTTCCCATTCTTTGTCCTATTTTGGTTTCCTTTAGAGCCTTAAATTGGGTTTGGTCTAATTCCATGTCCAGTGTTCAGGCTAATTCCTTTGAAGGGGTTAACTGCGCTTCCCGTATTTGCTAAGGTATGCCCTTTTATGTTAATTTGACCCCATAGGTGCTCCCTTCTTTTTCTGGACCATTAGGCTGGAAATTTTCTTTCCCTGGTTGGTTGGTGGGTTTTTTGGGTTTTGTTGGTGTGGCTATGTTTGGGCTAGTTGGTTTTTTGAGTGTGTCTTTTGGGTTTGGGGCTATCATCACACTGTGTTTAGAGCTATCAAGGGTGGTTCTAGTTTAGTGATTCTTGTATGCTTGGGTCGCGAAGAGGGAGTCAGATGGTTAGGGGTACTTTTTTCTATCTGTGGGTTGGCTAGTGTGGTTGGCTTTAGGTGTCTGCTTAGCTCTAGATTTCTCAGTATCCTGAGGTTGCTTCTGCTTCTCTAACTTGCCAGTGTGGTTGTTGCTGACATTCTCATTTACTAGTATTGGGTGGGGTTCGGGGATATATTCCATTGGTTCTTCCTCTGCATTAGAAAGCAAGTCAAATTGGTTACCTTTTCTAATGCTCCTTTGGTGGCTGGGCTTAGAGCATTATCTGATATGTTTGTCGATTTTCCTCTCTTGTGATGGGACATGCATCCATGCGCCATAAGGGTCGTGCGTGCACATGTCCCAGATGAGGTTATCGACCTTCATTACTTCTAGCGGCTTTTTAGCTACTCTCTCTTGGCCGGGCAAACTTCTTCCAGGTGGCTATAGAGTCCACATTGATATTGAAGATGGTCCTGTCGTCAACATTAATCTTGGAGATCAATGGTTTCGAGAGACCGATCACAATAGCTATTCTGGCAAATCGGCCTCTTTCCCCTATTTCGGTGTTGTAGTCGATGTGCACCACTCTCCCTAACATTTGCCTAATGGCTCATACCACCTGTTTGTGGTGGTAGCATACCGGGAGCATGGGAAGACGGACCCATCCAATAACTTGGTTGATTGAGTGGTCCAAAAGTGAGAAATCCACCGTCTAAGGCTAAACAGAGAGGTAGTGCCTAGAAATGACCCAAGGTCCATTCAGCAGTGCCATTTGGTAATCTTGAGCATTGCTAAATTTAACTATGTAGCACTCTCATGCACAGTCAATAAGTTGATATGGCCCTACAGTGGTCTAGAGATAAGGGAGTTGTTCTCTAAGGATAGGGTATTGTATTCTCCTTCCTAAGAGTTTAACAACCATAGCATATTCCATGCTTTTTTCTAGCAGATCTCTTACCCATAAGGAGAATGAAATTGAGGAGATGCCATCTTTAAGAGAGTACAAGACATTGTCTTCATCCAGTTCAAAGTCCTCTGCTTTGTTGCTTTGACCAGTACTATGGTTTACCAACATGTCCCTAAAAGAGGGTCAAGTGTTGAGGGCTTGGTGTTGTCATGTACGTATTATCTTAGTCTTCTATTGACTACTGTGTTTCATCAATCTCCCTCTTAGAGGATGCAGGGTCTTCTTCTTCACATAGCTTGACTTTCTTTGCTGAACAATTGTCTTCCGATGGTGGTGGATTGTCTTTTTCTTTTAGTTTGGGTTGCAATGATCGTTGATCCCTTATTGTTTGGTTACCGATGAATCCCAAGACCTCACTTGCCATTGTGGTGGTAGACTGGTAGTATGGCCTCTCGTTTTTCCTCTGCTACAGTGGGCAGTGAAGGACACTCCCTCACAATACCTACAACCATAGGCAGCAAAAGGCCGGCACGAAGCTCAAGAGGGAGCTTCTCTCTCTTTTTTTTTCCTCATTAAAAGGGGTGTTTGGATAGAAACCAAACCATGGTTTCAGAAGTGCTTTTACGGTTTACGAAGTAAATATGTGGAGGAGTTTGCCTCGTTTTGCGGAAAAGTGCTTCTAAAACCATGGTTTAGAGGTTGCCAAGTAGCTTTCTTTCTTTAGTAGACGATCATAAAGTTGTATTCAATGTTGAAGTTTGCAATGTTGGGGCTGCCCATTTTAAAGCTGTCACTCTATCACCAGAAAAAAAAGCCAAAAAGAAAACCAGCAAAATCTGGAACTTTTCTGGGTGGAATCAAGTTTTGGCTAGTGAATAGAATTGCTGGGCCTCTTAATCAGGCCTTATTTTTGCAGGCAGGGATCAGCGTGAGTAATACTAGTTTAATGATATTAATTCAGTTTAAAAATCCTAATATATATATGTATCATCATCTAAAGCATGGGCTGTTAATAGAACACATTTAACATAGCGTAATCCATATAGCCATTAGCCAACACTATCTAATAAAATAAAACTTGCCATATATTATATACATTTTATAAAAATTCAAATAAGTCACAATTTATAAGTAATACAGCTTATTTGTTATAAACATATTAATTCTTAATTATCAACTATTATTTAAAGCAGTTTTTGTTATAAATTCAGTTGAAATGAAATTACTTCGAATCCTGGATCTTTCTAAAAAAATAAAAAAGATCTCAACTGGATTGTCGTGAGGAGAAAAGCTGGACAAAATGATTTTGATGCAAAAACAAATAAATATATCATCACAATATAAATTATATACGTTCATCATGCTATCTGGAAAATGGATGATGGTAGCCCCACTGAATCAATGGAATATTGGAAAAACCTGGACTTAGATGTTTGCTTTCAGGTCTTTCAATAAATACAAAATATTTGGGGGGGGGGGGGGCTTTTTTATACATTCAATTGTATGACGTCGGATGCAAAAAGGAAAAGATATACACTTATCATGTTTTTAATGAAAAACCTGATAGCAAACAATTGAAAATTGTGCTCAACTTTTGTCCTATTTGAGAATGCTAAATGCACGCCAAAGAACAAAAAAACATCAACCAATTTACAACCGTGGCGTAGCCTAACCAAGAAAATATTCCAAAACATCAGAGACAACCAGGCGCCTTTCAAAACATTCTCTTACCAGACCCATTAAGATTGAGATTAAACCATTTCTTTCTTCCAGATTTATCCTTGCCATCCGAGCTTCCATCTTCCTTAGGGCTGTCTGCTTTGGAATCTTCACCAGAAAATTTCCTGCTACTACTTCCATTACTCAGATTACTACCATTCCCACTAGAAATGATTGTCCTGGACACAGTGAAGCAAGAATGGATACCATCTCTCTGCTTCAGAAGCTCGTCTACCTGAATAGCAAGATGCACTTGCCAATGTCAGAGACATTAAAAGAAGTCGTAACAAGTTTTATCAGATTATATTTGTCAAATTAACTAGTAATAATGAGGAACCAGATTTACAAGGATTTATAAAGGCCCCACAGCAAAAATATAGTCTCACAATAAGGGTACATGTTCAAATGAACCAAATGGTAAGATTGAATAAGGTAACATAATGCTCGCATTTGCATTAGAGGATAGTCGCACATTTCTCACATCTCACAATATGGCAATCAGTCCATTTTTTGTGTCTCTTCTCTAACTTTAAGAAGCCTAATATCAGATCATGCCCCGAACCAATTAATGATAATAATGAAACAGGAGGATAGCAGGAAAAACTACAAAACAAACAGTGCCTGCAGAGTTTAAAAAACTGAACTTGCTACAGAAGTAATGATTGGGAAACTGGACTTGGCAATGCCTTGAAATGGGAAAGAGTACACTGAATGCAGATAAAAACTCCAGAAATGTTTTTACTTATTTAATATTTTATTCATTGCGAGTGAGGGGTTAGCCTTCTACTACATCTCTGGTCTACAGAAGTCTTTCAGAATCTGTAAGTCAAAAGAAAATCAATTCTGTCTTGCATAACAGAACCTTGCTTATTTCTATCTTGCATTGCATGACTACTTTGGAGAAACTTTGAACGCATTCTCAGCACCGTATACTAAGATTCTCCAAATTTATATAAAAATTAGCAGTGCACCCTATGTACTTGCATGGGAACTCATGTGAGACTTCAAATTTAAAAAGGAGATTCATCTCAAAGAAAATCATGAAGCATCATAAGCCAAAGACAAAGCCGTGCTTTAACAAAGTCATGCTTTTAAAGGGCTCTTTCTTTTTTCTCTCTCTTTTTGGGCCATCCATTCTTTTAACGGCTTATAAAAAAGCATATATACATAAACACATCCACCTGTGATAACAATGTATAATAGTTCCATCTTTTTGTCAGACTAAAACCCGCTTCTTAAAAGCAAATCAGACATAAATTAATTTTGATCCTGTAATAAATTAGGGCAAGAGAAAATTGATTAAAAAAAAAAGAATGCAAATGCATACATATTCAGAGATGCAATTGCATACTGAGTAATAACATTAGCTCAGGATATGAGAACATACTGCTTGCTTTTCCTTGGTGTATCTTTCAGTCACTTCTTGATAGTGTGCTAATGCCTAAAAAGGAGACAATAAAAATGATATTTCAACTTTTGAGGACCAGACCACACTTTAGATCATCAACGACTAAAGCTGATAATAACCTTTCTATATTCTGTTTCAAATTGACGTAGCTCGTTCCTTTTCAATAAAATTTTAGCCTCAATGTCCTTAAGTTTTTGGGTGGTATCCTCGTATGATTTTGCACAAAGCGCCTCAATGGTGTAGGTGGCAGTCTTAAAGAAGTTATCTCCTGAATAATATAAAATTGAATCAGGATGTATGATATTCAGATAGTTGATAAGAAAAATGGCTCATAAAGGCAAAAAGATTGTGAAACAATCGATTATCCATACCATAAACAGCAAATATATGAGTGCCAGGTTTTAGTTCCGAGACTTCACAAGGTTGAAGACCTTCCAACCTTTTGAAGAAGGCAGCTTCAGGATCCTTTGCCATTGCCAACTGCAATAAAGTACCAAAAATAATCATCACTTTACTGCCCCCCATACCAATGAACAAGAAAGACCAAGCAGAAGAAAGAACAAGAAATCCAGTGAACACAATTTACATACAGCATTCACGGTTGAATCCAATCTGTACACTTGAAAATGTAAGAAATACATTCCTGCGGATGTCACCTTGCCAGTCTTTTCACTGTCTTCCTGTTTATAAAGACAATTACATTCACTAACAGTGCAAGCCCAATGGTCAGTTGCACAAGTTGTATAGCAACAATGACAAATAGCAGCAGATTGCAATATGTGTTATTACAACTTCTGCAATGAATAGACTCATCATGAACAGCTCAGAAAGAACAATTCACTTGCATAGTAAATTAGGCACATGACTATGATTAAAAGAAATAGAAGAGGTGCTTGACTTAAGATAATACATGGCACCACGAAGCAGAGGAAGCTATTCTGAGACCTTACTGTCGTGGATTGGTACTTTAATGGTTAACTATTCATACGTCTATGGACATGAGAGGCTAAGAGCATGGGAAAAAAAAAAGGATACTTCAATTAGTGGATTATTAATTGCATAGCTAGCGGTAACCATTCATCTCCTAATCTGCAAACTCCTGTAACCTATCATATGAGTATGTTCTGGTAGATTATGAAGATGAAAATCGAAACCACAACAGCAATGCCTTATCCCATTAGGTAAGCTGGCTACATGGATCGTAAGGCACAATCGGACTCTATTAGCGGCCAAATGTTTGGAAGATATAGATTGAAACACTACTAAAAAAAGTGAAATTTTTATCTTGACTCCACAAGTTTAAACATCTTTAAAATAAAAGAAGAAATCACATTAAGAAGGAAAAAACTAGAAGCTAGGGATAAGAACTCCTCAATCAAAGAAAACATGATCTGAAATGAACATAGCAAATCAGGCACCATAAAAAAAAAAAAAAAATCAGTGGAGGAAAACAAAAGTTTAAAAATAAGCAGAAAGCAACAGTATATGTTACCTGCAATGCTAAGCCATAGCCACCATTTGCATCATGTTCAAAGTAAAGCAACTGAAAATTCAAATGTAACTGTTACAATCCAATTTTATGTTATCCAAAAATTATTATAACACATAAGTCCTTCATACCTTGAATTTGCTTTGTGCAGTTGACGTGACTCTTATGACAACCCCTGACTCAGCTTGCTGCTCATTTATTGTCACACCAAAGAAATGAGCGCCTTGCTTCTCCACCTGCAGCAATTTGTAATTTAAGTAGAACTGTGGGAGGGAAAAAAAGCAGAGGAATACTGCATTTCTTCATCAACAGGAGAAAAAACAAAAGTACCTTTCCACTGACTGACGTTCCAATTGGAAGGGGTCTAACTGTAACTGTGCCATTCAGAGCTTCTTCAAGAACATTAGCTGAAATGGTGGTCTTGATAGGGACACCTAGCTTGCTATACTCAAATAAAATAAGAGTTAAGTCTTAAACGGTTTTGAAAATTTAGACGTACTGAACTAAACACTCACCTGAACAAAGCTGCAAACATTGTGTTGACAGTTCCAAGATTAGACAAGTCAACTTCCATGTCCATGCTGTCTGCTTCAAGCGCCTGACATGAATTCACATAAGATCCAAAGCTTATAGAATGTCAAGTTTAAAAAAGAAAAATAAATATGGGGAATTATGAAGTGAGAAGAGGCAAATTACTCAAGGAATTAGCATAATTGACGTGACTTTCATGTAGTTATAAAGACAGATTAATAGCCATGCAAACCAATAAAATGGGCATCAGTAGTGCTGAATACAATAACAGTGAAAATTCCTTAATGAAGATAAGAAAATGAAAACATGAATTTATGGGGCTAATGATAATTATTGATGAAAACAACTAAAGACAAAATCAACAACAGAACATAAGTAAATAAATACAGTCTCCACTCTCTAATGAAGCAAACAGTGTAAAATTCACACCACAATTATGTATATACAGTTCTGTAAAAGGTAAAAGCGATGAGTGAAGACATTTTATGTCCATTTTCATGCCTATGCCCTGCTCTCCTGGGCTGTTTTTCCTGAACGCATAAGGCCCCTCTGAAGTTCAACTTCTACATTGCTAAGAAGTAAGATGCCAAAACGATATTCTCTCTAAAGGACATATCATAGACTGTTCAAGCATCACAGTTCATTTTCTTTTGGGCATAGGCATTAATATGAATCCTAATCCTAGTCAGAACCAGTGGCGGAAGAAAAGCAAAACAGCTGGGTCAAATCCTTAGGCTGAAATTTGAATTAGCTTGAATAAGTTTTGGATTTTTTTTTTTTTTAGCTACATAAGTGGGCTACTGGCTGTTAAGCAAGTCCACCAACGTTCTTTTCTGTTTCCAAGTAGTTCCTAGATATTAGGATTTATTTTCTATTTTTCTGATAATTATTTCAGTGTATTTTCGGTTTATAAATAGGCTAGCAAGACTTGGCTGTATAATGTGCGTAGCAGAGTGAGATTCCTGCTTTACTCATCCTTAATAGAAAATTATCCCTCGTCTATTAGAGGGTTTGTGAGATACTGTTATGTAATTATAATTATAAATAAGAAAATACTTAAATATGATATAAATAGGGTTTAAATAAATATTATTAGGATTTAGATAGTATTTAATTATATTAGTAGGATTTGGATAGATTAGGATATCTAGATAATATTTAGATAATATTAGGATATTTTATCTATTAGGGCTTTTGCTTATAAATAAGTATTTGTCATTCTTTGTATCTGAGTTTTGCACTGTGATTAGAAAATTATTCAGTTTCTCTTGATCCTCTACTCTTCTCTAATTCTTCTCTTTTTCTATTACTCTTTTTCCTTTCTCTTTCCTCTTTCTCTCTCCTATTTCTTTACTTTTCATAACAGATACTCACAACATTCACTAGTAGGATTATTTTCCTTTTTCCTTCCGGTTTCTTATCCTAGAATCAGGTCCTTAGCAGGCATGGAGAGGGAAAGTGAGTGAATGATTCAGTGAGTTGAACCAAACGGGCAACTCTTACATGTTTTAACTCAAATCCATAGATAATACGTGGGTTGGAAAACCTTTTGTATTTTGAAGAATTATGCATTGTAGAATTTCTGTTTCTATATTGTATCAAACAGTGAGAAAAGACCAAAATAAAACATAAAAAAGGAGGAGACAGAGCCTTGATCCGCATGCAAGGCATAAGACAGACCTCAAATCCAGCACTGTCATATTGCCTTCTCTTCTCTGGGTCAGACAAGATACTGTATGAAAATGCAACCTCTTTAAAGAGTTCTGAAGCTTCAGGATTGTCAACATTTTTGTCAGGGTGATACCTGTCAAATATATGGAATAAATACATTTAACAGACCTTAAACATTTTCATAATAATCATATTTTTTAATGAACATAATAATGATCATCATATTAATAACAGTCATCATATTTCCTTACGCAGTACTAGAGAAACTTCTTAATACTATGAGACTAGAGCAAAATGGGACCACAAAGGAAATTCTGTTGAGAACCTCTTAATAATCAATTCAAGATATTGCTTAAAATGTCATACTTGCAGGTGGTTTGGCAGAAGTGGTGGATACAACTATAAGAGAAAAAGTTGTTGGCACTGTGGTGATTATGACTCTCATTACCCAGGATTGGAATGTCAAAATTGAACATGTTAATGGGCAAGTCAGCCAGTGTGCTAATAACTGGCTTGCCTGAGCTCCTCATCACTCTGAGGGTCAATGATGTTGTTCCTTTGTCGATCCTCCTTTAGATTGTAGGAGGTTAATTGGTTAGGACTAGCAGGATTCCTAGTGTCCTCTGTTTTTTTCTTTTTGCTCCAATATAGCGTAGCCATATCCTTCTATTCAAAATAATAATAATAATAATAAATTTGTTCTTCGTCCCCACTTGTAGCCTAGTCCCTGCCTTCTTTTATTTAGAAAAACAAAAAACAAAAAATGAAAGAGAGTGGAGGGAAGTGACAACAATGAAACCAAGCATTTTACCTTAAGTGCACCTAATGAGAAGTTGATAGACAATAGGATCTGTAACAACTATCAGTAGCGTTGGTACATGATTGCAAAGGGATTATCCCATGAAGAACTCAGCAAGATGTCAATTAGAGGACTATTATCATCATAGGATAGTAGACATTTCCTTTCCCTCTTTTGATGGGGAAAAAAAAAGAACTAAATGTTAAGAGTATGGCCAGAATAACAAACAACAGGAGGCATGCAAGCTTCTCCATTGATTCAGCTTTGAAGATAGAACTATAATAAGAATGTTTGACATGAGAAAAGGAAGTTCATCGCCCATGAGCATTATTCAGTTTTTTATCCCAATCAAAGATTGTGTAAGAGTATCATACAAAATATTCTCAGAGCCAGACTCTGCTCTATCTAAATCTCCTGGCATTTAAAGAAAACGAGGGAGGGGCAAATAACTATTTCATTGCAGAGGAAGGTTAATCGCAAGAACACAGGGGCAACTATAAACTCGAAGATCAGACAGCCTCCCATGAAAAAAAAAAAAATTAAATAAAAATAGACCTTCAAAGCCAGAAGCAAGAAACTAGAAGCAAAGAGCGGGCACCCTAAAGACCCAAAATTATATTTCAAACAAAGTGACGCCCATGAATTATTATTCCTAAAGAGTAAAAGGCATCGCGAACACCATCTTTCAGAACAAAGAAAACCTTATGTAGCGCAACCTCGTATAACTAAACAGAGAAGGTAGTACAACGAAAATCTAGAAGTAAACATACTTGAGGGCGAGTTTTCTGTAAGCGGTTTTAATGTCCTGATCATTTGCGTCCCTTGACACAGACAATACCTCATATGGATCTCGTCGAATTGCTGGGGCAGACGGTCCTTCCATCTTAGAACCCATCCCCTCCTCCCCTCCTTTCTCTCGCACAGAGCAACTAATTCAAAATCTTCTCTTCTTTGAACAGTTATTGAATGATCCTCTTCATCGACGTAACTGCTACACCAAACAAAATTTTCCACGAGAGAATTCAAAAACCGATTTTAGATCAGCACTAACTATCAGCAGGAGAAGATGCACAATTCAAAGAGACATTGGATCGCTAAAAACTTCCTCGAAATGTCGAAAAGAGCAATATGCATCAGCTGGAAATTGAGATCTTACCCAAGCTGAGAGAGGTTACTTGCCAAGGAAAGAAAAAAAGTCAGATTGAGTTTTGAATTTCCCGAGCAGAATCATGGCACGTACGATGACCAGTGACAGCGAGAAAGGGCGTTTCTGTATTTTACTTTATTTTTAAATAACTAATTAATAATTATTTTATTTTATTAATAATAGCAATAATGTTTAATTATTGACGAATGCTCTTCATACTTCCTCCCCTTCACAGTGTAAATGAATAGTTTGATCTCAAATATAAATCACCTAAAAAATAATTAATATTATTTATAGTTCTTAATATAAGATTTTGTTTAATTTTTATTTTGATCCTAAATATAAAATCTTAATATATTTTTTCTCTCACATTTAGTCATTTTTTTTCTAAAATAGTCATTCCAATAATAATAGTTCTAGTCAATAAACTTGATTGGTAAAAATATTTTAAAAAAGACAATACATACTTATTACAAATAACTAACTTAACTTATTTTCTTAATATAACTAAATTAGTTAACTAGTTTTTATATTCAACACTAGAGGTAGTAATTATTTATTAATTTTGTTCATGTAATCAATGCTTAGATGTAATTCTTTATATATTTCTCACTCCTTTATAACCTTATTCAATGTGCGTAAAGTTCAGAAAGTTTCCAATCTCATTTAATAAATTAACTAAATTTTTTTTGATATTGATGGATAGGTTAAAATAACTTATATTTTGAATTAGAAGGAGCATATATGTAAAGAAATTTTTTAACTCAATCATGGTTATTTGAAGTAAAACATGAGGGACGTTAATGAATGTATTTTACCTTTCTATATTTTGATGAATTTTCTATTATCAAGCAATTTTTTAATTGATTCACAAGTTTATGATATTGTTAATCATAATCAATACTTGTCATTTCCGGATAAATTTTTGTCATTTTTAATTAATGTACATGTTATTTTACATTATACATTAGAAAAAAACATATTGTTAATCTCAAATTTGGATTTGTTATTCCTAAATAAATTGTTGTCATTTTTAATTAATTTACATATTATTTTATGTTATATATCAGGAAAAAAAGTTTTATTAATCTCAAGTTTAAACTTATTATTTTTCAATCAAGATTTTTCATTCGCAGTTAATTGTTTTCACGAGTTGAAGCAAGAGTAAAAGAATTAACTTTTTTTTTTACATTATTAAGTAATCATTAGTGGCCTAATGGCCATTTCTTTTGTTGGTTGAGTGACCATTGGGTGGGCTTTTGTCAAATAATTTTTCATGGAAAAAAAATTTTGCCACAAAAAAAAAACTATCGGCAGCTACCATGCCTGGCCAAGGAGTTAAACTTTTTTACTCCTCCGGTCCTAATTATAAGACCCAATTAACTTATTTGAGAAGATTAAGGAAGTAAGTTAAGTTGGTTATTTATAATAAATAAATGTTGTCATTCCTAAAATATCCTTGCTAATTAAGTATATTGGCTAAAACTATCATTATTAGAATGATTATCTTGAAAAAAAATGCATAAATATAAGAGACAAAATGGATTGGGGTCTTATAATTAGGACCAAATAAAAAGTCAAATGGGGTCTTATAATAAGGACCGGAGGAGTATTAAAAAAAATAAAGGGACATTTTTGTCATTTGTCATAAATTTCAAAATTTCAAATTAGGTTTATTTTCTTTTCTATCATTTTCAAGACTTAACTTCTTAAATCGGGAAATCACAATTTCAACCTTTTTTTTTGGTTATTTTTCCTATTTTATTTTAATAATAATAGGAATATCTCAATAATGATTAATTATTGATGAATGCTCTTCATGCTTTCTCCCCTTCGCAACATAAATTAATAGCTTGGTCTCAAATATAAATCGCCTAAACAGTAATTAACATTTCTTTATCAATTTTGTTCATGTCATTAATACTTAAATGTAACTCTTTATATTTTTCTCGCTCCTTTACAATCAATATGGGTAAAGTTGAAAAGTTTTCATAAAGTATACTTTTAATTTTTTAACTTTACACAATGTTTTATTTTAGTCCCTCAACGTTAAAAAGTAAGCTTTTAGTCCTCTAACACTAAAATTGTTAACAAAAAATGATGATATTAAACTCTTAAATACTGATAAAGTATTATTAAATGCTAACAAAGCATTATTACATACTAACATATTAAGTTTAATATTCAAAACAACCATGATTGTTACAAAAAAAAATATTATTTAAGACTAACAATTTTGGGGTTAAAAAACTAAAAATATACTTTTTAAAATTAAGGGATCAAAGTGAAACCTTACATAAAGTTAAAGAACTAAATGTATACTTTAATCATCTTATTTAATAAATTAATTACTATATTTTGATATTAATAAATAGTTTAAAATGATTTATATTGTGAACTGAAAGGAGTGTATATATATATGTATGTATATAGAAATTTTTTGACTCAATCATGATTATTTGAAGTAAAACATGAGGGAAAGTTAATGAATTTATTTTGCCTTTCCATATTTGGATGAATTCTCTGTTATTAAGCAATTTTTTTTGGTGAATTGTATTATTAAGTAATTTTGTTCACATTGTGATTGTGATATATGCAACGAGTGATTGAAAAACCTCAAAAGCATTTAAAATAAATAAATGTTTTTATAGAAGTCGAGACAAAACGATTCTTAAATTCTTACTTTATATATCATAAAATTACTTTTAAAAGCTAATTTACCATGAATTCTAGCTTTTTAAACTGTTTTTTAACTTATTTGAAATACAAACACCAGATTACATGACAATTTCTGGCGATTCTGAATAAGATTCCCATTATGGAATCCACCATGGCATCTATGAATTGGTAAATTATCATTTCCCGTAGTCTCGCAATTTTTTAAAAAAATAATTGAAGTACACGATTTAGAAAGAGGAAAATGACTTCAATGACACCATAGTACAATTATTGACTTTTCAGACTTTATTTTTCTTTTCGTTTCATCATTCACCAACACCCACCAAACGAAAATATAATAATATTCATCTACTTTTATTTTTTATAAAAAAATTAATTAATTTAAATATCCTTTCCCTCGCCTTCATCTTTTTCGTACCAAATGGATCCTTAAAAGGGCATGCTGCTTAAGACAATTGAAAAGTCCCAACGACGATCAATCATCAACTTAATTAGTATTAACTATTATTATTACTACTACTGCTGCTATTACTTTACTACTATACTAAATGATGTTCTCTCCTTCTGATTGGTTCTTTATAATGCTCCTCATTGGTCATCAGCATTCTCCCCCCATGATTGGTCCATTATAATTCTTCTTATGGTGTATTTGTAATGCGCTTGATTGGTTGCTATTCGAAACTTTGCTATTCGTCTCTCCAATCTCCTCTATTGTGTGTTTCATCTTCTTATTGGCTATTTTTTTAATCTCTTCTGTCTACTTAGGGTGTGTTTGGATGAAACTAAACCGTGGTTTGAAAAAGTGATTCTGGAGAATAGATTCTGTGAAGAATAGATTTTGTAAAAAAGTGATTCTGAGAAGTGAGAGTGTTTGCATAGTTGTTATCAGAAGCACTTTTTATATATACAAATTACTAAAAAAAAGACATAAGTTAATATGATAATTACAAAAAAAATAGATTTTATGATATATTTTAATTTGAAGGACTAAAATTGTTAATAATATATTTTTTACCAACATAATTAATAATACATAAGATAATATAATTAATAAATAATTAATGTGTATATATATTTATAAAATATAAGATTAAATATGTTTATCAAAAAATATGTTTATAAAAAAAATAACAAGATACATATCATATAGGCTCTCACACTCTCCCTTTTTTCTCCAAAAGCAAAAAAATTTTGCTTTTTCGAAAACCATGGTTTTGGAGTCAAAACCATAGTTTTGGTTTTTAGAGGGGGTGTTTGGGTGATTGACACCCCAAACACACCCTAACCTTATTGTTTTTTTTATTCATTTTTAAAAATTTGCGTTTCATTTTTCAGAATTGAGTATTGTGGAATGTTGTGCATATTTATTAGGGAAAATTTCACTGTAGGACCGCACAAGACAATTAATCTCAAAGAGCCCCCAAAACTTTCTGAAATCTCACTGCAGGACCAAGGGGCCAATATGATATTAATTCCACAAACGAAATGACGCCACTACCCTTAGCATCAGGTGAACCAGTCCACATGTGAACGGACTGATTCCACGTGTGAATATATGTATTTATTCTGCAAATTGGCTAGTTCCCCTTGCAAATGCGCTCTCTCGCACTTGTTTCCTCACAAACGCATGCATCAGGTGAACCAGTCCACATGTGAACAGACTGATTCCACATGTGAATATATGTATTTATTCTGCAAATTAGCTAATTCCCCTTGCAAATGCGTTCTCCCGCACTTGTTTCCTCACGGACGCATGCATCAGGTGAACCAATCCACATGTGAACGGACTGATTTCACGTGTGAATATATGTATTTCATCTGCAAATTAGCTAGTTTCCCTTGCAAATGCGCTCTCCCGCACTTGTTCCCTCACGGACGCATTCATCAGGTAAACCAATCCACATGTGAACGGACTGATTCCACGTGTGAACATATGTATTTATTCTGCAAATTGACTAGTTCCCCTTGCAAATATACTCTCCCGCACTTGTTCCCTTCTACTAGGGGCAGTGTCGTCATTTCGTTTGTGGAATTAATATCAGATTGGCCCCTTGGTCCTGCAGTGAAGTTTCAGAAAGTTTTGGGGGCTCTTTGAGATTAATTGTCTTGTGCGGTTCTACAGTGAAATTTTCCCTATTTATTATATGTTCTCAGATTTATTTTCTCTGTTGACCAACATCAACAAAAAAAAAAAAAAAGAAGGGGAAACTACCATTGTGAGATCTTCTCATAGGTTAATGTAGGGGTGCTCACGGGACAGGCCCGTCCCGGTCCCGTCCCGGTGAACAGGGACGGGACAGGGTTTTAGTCCCGTGTCCCGTCCCGTTCCCCTCCCCCTTTTTTTTTTTAAAAAAAAATTATAATTTTTTATATGAAATTTTTTTATGTTATAATG